CACCTCTCCCTGCGCCTGCTGCCGCCACTCTGCCTGAGGCCAGCTCCTCTGCGCTGGGCTACTCTAGACAAGTGCCTCAGCCTCTCTGTGACTCGGCCTCTACACCATGGAGGGATAGGGAGTGGAGAAATCCCCTGGGTGAGTCTGGAGGCTGCAAGTCACAGCCCCACCACAAAGTAGTAGGCATGCTGATCCACACATGTTCTTTCTGCCTCTATAACCATGACTCTGATTTCCAAGATCATGGCCAGCTAATAGTAATAATGGTCTTCATTATCTAGTCACACAGTAGGACCAGGTGCTGTGCTAAGTCCTTTATGTAACACAATCAACAGAACAATCCCGAGGCAGGTGCTGTCCCATTTTATATATGAGGAAAGTGAGGCACCGAGAAGCTAAGTAATTGGCCCAGGATAGTAGGTGGAGATTCAAACCCAGGTCTGGCCAAGCCCAGGCCCTCACTCTTTGCTCTGCTGCCTTCTCTTGCTGTGCAGGAACTTTTGGTAACTGGCACCACCCAGAGCTCCCCATTCCCTAACAAAACGCTCGCTCCCTTTATGCGCGGGGGTTATGAACCTGCTTCTTCCACTTGGGGCAAGCTGGAATAAAAATCCTGCAAGTTGGCTGCAGCTGCTGAATGCCCTGCATTCCTCGAGCGGTACCAGGCGGAGTTCAGCTGTGCCTGGCCCCTCACAAGGGCTGCTGGCTGCCCGGCGCTGCCGCTGGACCTGGACCAAGCCACTGGGAAATGGCCCCAAGCCAGGTGCTCACACACTGGGTCTGTGTGACCTTGGGCTCCTGCAATGGCCCGTCTCTTGGCAAAGAAGCCTGCTGAGAGGCTGTCAGACCCAGCCCACACGCCTTGACCTGGCATAATTTTAACGATGGAGACAGGAGACCCTGACATGAACTATGAGACTGTGGTGTTGAATTCAGAACATGTTAACCCAGTGGCTGCTCAGGTGGGTCTGAATTCCTGTGAGCCACCATTGCCAACTGTCAGGACCGGTGGTGGGTACAGCAGAAGAGATGGCGCTGGATAGGCCGTTCTTTAGGAGGCCGGGGAACCAGGGAGTAGACAGGCACGGGGAGGGTAAGGTGGCCTGGCACAGCATCCCAGCTCTGCCGCTCGTGAGGACCCAGCGAGGTAGCAGACAAGGAAGTGCTTGGAAAGCTGTCAGGAGCTCTATGAATGTTTGGACTTGTTACACATCATCAGAGAGGCTGCTTTTGTTTCCGTCCTTTGGGAGGTGGGGCTGCGTTGTGGGATGGCATCGCAGAGACAGCACAGGCTCTGGAGCTGGGCTGACCTGGGTTCAGTCTGGCTCTTCTTCAGCTCTGGAAACCTGGACGCGTTCTGTAACCTCCCTGGTGAAGAACAGCTTCCCACCTCACTCAGACGCAGGCGCAGTCCCCACGGTCACCTACAGGGCCCCGTGTATGACCTGGAGCTTCCCCCAGGCTCGGGCCCCTCCCCCTTGCTCACTGTGCTCCAACGGGCCTTCTCCTACATTCTCAACACTCAGCACACACTCTGGCCTCCGGGTCTTTCCATTTGAGGTTTCTTCTTCCTGCAACACTCTTTCCCCAGGTGTCTGCAATGTTGCCTCCTTCAGGTCTCTGTTCAAAGGACACCAACCAGTGCTGTCTTTTCTGACCATCCTATTCAAAACGCTCCCTACCCTTCCTTGATTTTTCTCCCTAACACATCTCCATCTAACATACTAAATAGGGTTTATCACCTGTCTGCACCCATTAAAGTTTAAGCCCCATGAGGCAAGGGATTCTATTTTTTTAAACTTTCAAAAAAAATTTTTTTGTGCAGAAGATCAGCCCTGAGCTAACATCTGTGCTAATCCTCCGCTTTTTGCTGAGGAAGACCAGCTCTGAGCTAATATCTATTGCCAATCCTCCTCCTTTTTTTTCCCCAAAGCCCCAGTAGATAGTTGCGTGTCATATTTGCACATCCTTCTAGTTGCTGTATGTGGGACGCGGCCTCAGCGTGGCCGGAGAAGTGGTGCATCGGTGCGCGCCCGGGATCCGAACCTGGCCGCCAGTAGCGGAGCGCGCGCACTTAACCGCTAAGCCACAGGGCCGGCCCTCAAAACATTTTTAATTGTTATTTTTTTAGAGCTTTTGTTTTTGATCCACTCCCATTCCCCCTTTGCCTAGCGGTGCCTGGCTGGCTCACTTGTAGGAAAAGGATCCAACCTTCTGTACATAAACTCCTACAACATGCCTGATACACAGCAGGCACTGTATTCGGTTCCTAGGGCTGCCATAACAAATTACCACCAACTTGGTGGCTTAAAACAAAAATTTATTCTCACGGTTCTGGAGGCTGAAACTCCAAAATCACGGCGTCAGCTCTAGGGGAGCACCTTCCCGGCTATTCCAGCTCCGGGAGGCTCCAGGCATTCCTTGGCTTGTGGCTGTGCCACTCCAGTCTCTGCCTCTGTCTTCACGTGGCCTTCTCCTCCTCCTACCTGTGTCTGTCTCTTACATGGACACTTGCCATTGGATTTAGGGGCCACCTGGAGAATCCAGGATGATCTCCAGATCCTTAACTTACACCTGTGAAGACCTTTTACCAACCGTCACACTGACAGGTTCCAGGGGTCAGGATATGGACATATCTTTTCAGGGACCAGCATTCAACCCATTACAGCACTCAATAGTAACTGTCATATCAATGGGGAAAAAAAGGATACAGAAAACCTTGTGAATTCAAAGTGTGGGGGAGGAGTAAACGTCTGAGCATCCATTATAGGCCAGGCACTTGAAGAGCATCATTTATTCCTCACAACTGCCCAGTAAGGCTGATTCTTTTTTTTTTTTTCGAGGAAGATTGGCCCCGTGCTAACATCCATTGCCAATCTTCCTCTTTTTCTTTTTTCTCCCAAAGCCCCAGTACATAGCTGTGTATCATAGTTGTAGAGTTGTAGCTCTTCTGTGTGGGACACCGCCTCAGCATGGCTTGATGAGTGGTGAGTAGGTCGGCGAACCCCGGGCCGGCCCCGACTATCCTTGTTTTATATGCAAGGAACAAGGCTCAGAGGTGAAGCGACCTGCAGGCAGGGGCTTCCACCCCAAGAGCCACACTGGTGCCCACCTGAGTGACAGGTACTGCCCTAACAGCCAGGGTAAGCAGGAAGCCATCTTTCCCAGCTCCAGCCACCGCCTACCACCCACGTCCCCGTGACGAGCAGGTGGAGCAGGCCCAGCTCTGCCGGGCAGCAGGCACCAAGAACCCTCCAGCGTACTACTGCCCATCAGTGAGCAACGTGGCACTTGCCCACCCATTTCATCTCACAACCTGGGGGGATGTCTTCATTGTCAGACAAGGCTACCAGCCCAGAGAGGTCACGCAGCAAATTAGTAACACAATTCAGACCTGGATCCAGGTGTCATCCCTTCAAGTCACTGGCTCTTTCCATGTCCTCCAGCTCCCTTACAACCAGAAAACTCAAAAGGAACCAACCACACACCAGGTGAGCAGAAAGCCTCGCTCGAGAACTCACAGTAACCCTGTCTAACCGTCACTGGGACGCAGGGAGCAGCCCCACCAGCCGTGTCCTTCCAAGTTCCAGGAAACAGCCCTTCACTTTCGGGCTAATACATACCCCATGTAGATTTTTATGGGTTATCTATTGCTGTTTCACCTTTTGCCCCCAGTCTTAGAGTTGGACTTCCTAAGTAAAAATACAAACTTGGGAAACAAAAAACTTGTCTTCACTACCCACTAACTTGACCTTGGACACGCTATTTAATTACTCCAAGCCTCACTTTCCTCATCAATAGAATCAGGACACCAAGTCTACCCACCGGACTTGGTCTTCCAGATACCAGGTCTCCAGAATAAGTGAGACAATGCATAAACTGTTTGCAGGCCTCTCTGAGGGTTTACTCCTGAATGCAAAGCTTCTACAGTTCCAACATTTGACTTCTGATGGGTAGATTGGGTGAGGAGTCCTAGACAACCAGCTCCAGTGAAGTTTTCTTTTTTTTTTTTTTAAAGATTTTATTTATTTTATTTTTTCCCCCCAAAGCCCCAGTGGATAGTTGTGTGTCGTAGCTGCACATCCTTCTAGTTGCTGTATGTGGGACTCGGCCTCAGGATGAACGGAGAAGTGGTGCCTCGATGCGCACCCGGGATCCGAACCCGGGCCGCCAGCATCGCAGCGCGCGCACTTAACCACCAAGCCACAGGGCCGGCCCTCCAGTGAAGTTTTCAATTATCAGAGACCTCTATTATCTGTGCTTCATTAGATAAGATCAGAAACCGGCTCTGAAAATAAACAGTGTGGGCTGCCAGGTTCTGAGGTGCAGAAGATGCCATCTCAGAGAAGTCCCCAGGATGGCAGATCCCACATGGGCGTTTAAGGGAGGGATGGCAGAGAGAGTGAAAAAAAGACACAGCCCAGTAGTGACTGGCCCACGGAGGTGCAGGCAGACAACGAGAAGTATCGAACTCACTGAGGGTGGGAGAGGCTGCACACGACACAAATCAAGGTTTTCAGGGTGAGGAGTCAGAACTGGGCAGCAGAAGACAGCAGAAAAAAGTGGTGATTTGGAGTCAACTCTTGGCTTTTTTATAACTACGTTACTTTGACCAAATCACTTAACTCCCTGAGTCCGTTTCCTGATCAGCGAAATGGGGATACTACTGCCAAACCTGAGTTGTACGGTGCAGGCGATGTACACGGATTCCTCTCAGCACAGTTTCTGGCAGGAGGGGGTGTGCAGTCGTTCCTTCCCCAGACCAGCACTTCCACTAACGCACACGCAAATTACGCCAAGTCACTGAACACTCACAGGATTCTCGTGAGGTGCAAACGAGACACTGAATGTGAGAAAGTCGTGTAAGCTGTGGAGTGCTTTATGAACACAGGGAGTAGAGAATCAACTTAAACACCAACAACTGACGCGTCAGGAGAAGAATCATCACACGGGAAATCAAGTCCTGTTACGATGCTCCCCAACAATAACAAGACGACAAATCTGGCCGCAAAGAAGATCCTTTACTGAGACCAATTTAAAACATTTCAGTCCTTGATTCAAACAAACTCCAACTCAGTGGACTGGCTGATGGCTGAGCTAGGCAAAGGCTTCATAGTGGTAAAAACACTCTCTGCCTACAATGACATCAAAATAGGTTCCTGTCTAATGCAAGTGTGAATGCACTCAGGGTCTCTGTCCCATCTTCTTCAGGGTTCGATTGAGCTAGAAGAGAAAGAAAAGCAAAGTTTGACATGGGGTTTTCACCAAACGTTTTCCTCCGGGGTGCACGATCACCAGCTCAAGACTCGCCGGCCGCCCTGATGTCAGGGAAGGAGTCTCTGATGTGGCCACGAGTGTATACCATGCGTGCGTCAAGACCCAGTTAGGTCCTCCACCCGACATTCATCTGGCCCCCACACTTCATGCAGATGGTCCTTCTACCTGCCCTTCACACTCAGCACGCACACACTCTATAGGGCCCCACCCATTCTACAGACAGGAAAGGGATTCAGAGCGGCCAGACACACCAGGGCTGTGCTATCATCTTGCAGGAGGAGCCTGGTGGCATGGACACAGCATAGCAGTGACCTCTGCTGGAGGCCTCAAAGCACCAGGACACAGCGGCTCCGGCTATGGCCACAAAGAGACCCACACCCTTGTGTGTTTGGCCTGACCCACGAGCCCTCTCCTAGGTCACGATGCTGAACGCACCGAATCTGTCAAAACAGAGCTTCCTGTCCTCTGCCTGCAGGAACTGGTCAGACCTGTCTAAGCTGGAGAATAAGTGCCAAACAGGGAGGGACGGATAAGAGCAGGCAGTGAATCCACCCATATTAGGAAATGCCAGGGACGGAGAGGAGAGCTGGCCACCCGCAGAGGGAGATCTTGGAAAGAGATGCTCCAGAGAAGGCTGACACAGCAACTCCAAGAAGCCCAACCCCACTCCCCAAACCCCAAGCAGCCAGCCAGTCTAGCTCAGAAACTTAAAGGGCCAATTTCAGGCTTTCTTGAAAACAGAAACGAGAAATAAAAAATGTAAAACTCCCTATCCAGTTCCTAACCTCTATGCCCAGCCCACATACCACTGTCTCAGACCTCTCTCACCTCCTCAAATTTGTGAATCTGCCGGATGAAGAAATCCCCATAGCGCCTGGCGACCTTGGTGTCTGCGATGTGGATCATGTCCTGCGGGAAAAGCAGAGTCAGAGAAGTGAGGTGGAGCCACTTTCGAACTTGCAAATAACCATGCCACAAAGAGCTAGATAAACCTCTACAGTGCTTTTCAAAAGCAAAGGGGGGGAAGAAACCCTCTGGAAGAGCATTACCAGTTAATTTCTTTCTTTCTAGATGGCTGATTTTCATTTTCTTCTTGTTAACTCATTTACTTTTATTCTCTAGTCTTTTCAACGAATATGAATCTCTTGGCAATAAACATTTATTTATTTATTTATTTATTTATCCCTCGCCCCCCCCAAGCCCCAGTAGATAATTGTATGTCATAGCTGCACATCCTTCTAGTTGCTGTATGTGGGACGCGGCCTCAGCATGGCTGGAGAAGCGGTGCGTCAGTGCGCGCCCGGGATCCGAACCCGGGCCACCAGCAGCGGAGCATGCACACTTAACCACTGAGCCACGGGGCCGGCCCAGCAATAAACATTTAAAACAGCATTTTATTCTCGTACACTGTTGGTAAAATTGCAAATTCGTCTAGATTTTAAATTTTGTTTTTTAGCTCAAAATATTTTGTTGAACACCACTTTGCTTGTAAATTCCTACACATTCTAGGTTAAGACTCAAGAACTTTCTGAATCTCTTTGATAACGATTTTTTTACGTCAAGGATGAAAAAAGAAAAGCCAAAAAACCCAGAAAGCAGCATTTTGCCAAAGATGAACTTGAACCAGTAAGAGGAACAATGATAACAACAAAAACACACAATTAAAAACTTTTTGACTCAAGGACTTTAAATCATATTATTAATATTTTAACATATTATTAATTTAACCTGAATATAACCTGATAACAAAGTTTTATTTTTAATAACCAAATTGCTAATTCTTGAGAAGTGTTTTATTAAAGACTATCCGGAGTTAGGACTAGTTCAGCTGGGTCACTAAGCGATGACAGAGGGGTGTAGCAGGTTACTGATACCGCCAAAGAATGTGTATGTGTCAGGCATCTAGAAGAAACTCCAAAGGACTTTAGGTGGTTAACGTGATACTGCAGGAGAGACAGTTTTGTTTGATTTTTAAAAGCATGTTTTTAAACAACATTGAAAAACATCCACTACTGACGTGTTTCTACTTTCAGTGAGTCTGTTCATGTCAGAGACAGCTAAGTTCTGCCAAACACCAAGTCTTCCAAAAACCATAAACTCTAAATGAGTACTCCGTTTAGCCAGACGAGCTTTCAAAAACAAAGTACCCAACTGACCGAGCAATTCTACCATCAAGTATATACCCAAGAGAGTATGGTCACATAAAGACTTATACACAAATATTCACAGCAGCATTATCCCTAATAGCCAAAAAGTGAAAACAACTCAACTATCTAGCAACTAATGAATGGATCAACAAAACGTGGTGTATCCATGCAGTGGAATATTATTCAGCCATAAAAAGGAATAAAGTACTGATACCTGCTACAACCTGGATGAAACTTGAAAACATGCTCAGTGAAAGAAGTTCAACAGAAAAGGCCACATATTTTATGGTTCCATTTATATGAAATGTCAAGAATAAACAAATCTACAGCGACAGAAAGCAGATTAGTGGTTTGCCAGTGATTGGGGGAAAGTGGGGATTGGGAATGACTGCTAATGGGTAAGGAGTTTCTTTCTGGAGTGGAATTAGATAGTGGAGATGGTGGCACAACGCTGTGAATATACTAATAATCACAGAACTGTACCCTTCAAATGGTATGGTTTGTTATGCAAATTACATCTAAAAAAACCAGTCAAAAAAGTATTATGTTTAGACCAACACACTTCCTGAAAACAACTAAAAACGCAGGATAATTTAAAAAAATCTCCTTATAGCATCAAAGAGCTGAAAAAAGAACTATTTAAGAGAAAACAGAAATCATTCTAAGCAAAGCCTCCTCTGCCCTGAGCCAGGGCCAGTCTAACAGAAGACTCTCCTTGTAATGCTGAGGTCCCAAAGGGCCATCCCCTCAAGCTAAAGGTGAACCAGAAGTGAACTGCCATCCAACTCGTGACACCAAGCAAAGGCTGCCAAGGGGGAGGGGGATATAAAAGAAAAAGAGACCCATCCCTGAGACCTTATAAACACAAGGGGATTCTTCTGACAATCCGTAGCCTGAGCTTATCACCTGGCTGGTCCAGGGGACCTCAGGCTGTGGGCTCAGTCCATGGTGGTCCCAGAGCAATAATAGCCCCAGCCAGCTTGAAGGGGCAAAAGCAAACCCCCCAGAAGAATGAATCTTCATCCTAGGCTTCAAAGAATGCCAGCAGTTTCTCAAGAACAATGAACCACATGTAGTACAAAAATAACCAAGCACACAAGGAAACACTGCACCATGAGTAAAAAAAAATTACAGAAAGCAAGAAATAGAGCTGAAGAGATTAATTAGGGATAGAATGAAGGATCAAAAGAAAATTATCCATAGTGGAGGAGACAAAACGATGGAAGACGGGTTTAAGAGACATGGAGGACAGAGTGAGGTCTAACATATATCAAATAAGAACTCCAGAAGGCGGAGAATAGAGAAGAAACAATATCTAAGAGATACCAAGAATATGAGAGGTGAAAGATCCAGTCTACTGATTTTAACAGACTGCTGTAAGTCCATATCAGGGTTCCAAATATGTCTGAGTAGAACGTTTTTTTCACTTCTCAGTATACGTACGTGGGGGAAACAAAGAGGGGACGTGATATTTAATGCAAAGAACAATTCTAGAAGTCTAGCATATTTTAAGTCTGAAAAAACTCATTAACAAAACAACTTAGTTCTTTAAAAAATCTCATTAAGAGATTAAAATGTCCAACTTGAAATTAAGATCCCAACAGTGACAACACTGCTCCTCAACCCGCCTCTCTCCTGAGAGGAAACCACTGCCATGCTGCTTGTGCATCCTTCCAGAAGTAACTCTTTGCATACACAAGAATATGTAAATATATCACTTAAAAAAAAAACTTAGGGCTGGCCCAGTGGCATAGTGGTTAAGTTCGTGCGCTCTGCATCGGCCGCACGGGGTTCGCAGGTTTCGATCCCGGATGCAGACCTATGCACCGCTCATCAAGCCACACTGGCGGCGTCCCATATACAAAATAGAGGAAGATGGGCACAAATATTAGCTCAGGGCTAATCTTCCTCAGCAAAAAGAGGAAGACTGGCAACAGATGTTAGCTCACGGCCAATCTTCCTCACCAAAAAACAAACAAAAAACCCCCAAAACGTAAATGGACCATTGACAGCCACTCTATAAAAACATATGTGTATTTTCTGTAATAGCCAAAAACCACCCAAATGCCCATCAACGTAAGACTGGAAAAACTGGAGTCAATCACCGTGGTAGCTGCTGGACTATCACAGAGCAGCAGGCATGAATGAACTGCTATACATGACGATGGTGGACGGTGACTCTCTCAAATATAATGCTGAACAAAAGAAGCCAGACACGAAAAGAGCACAAACTGGGCAATTCCATTATATGAAATTCAAAAGCAGGCAGGACTAATCCAGGGTGGAACAAGTCAGGACAATGGCTTCCACTCGCCAAAGCACTTCCAACAGTCTACAAAGCACCCTCTGCTTTCTCCTCCAACCCCATCTCCTGCCACAGCCACCACTCTCAGGCCACTCCAGCCACACTCCAACTGTCCCTTGAACATACTGGGTTTGCTCCCGCCCCAGGGCCTTTGCTCTAACTGCTCCCTCTGCCTAGAACTCTCTTCCTCCAGATATCTGCTTGGCTAATTTCCTAACCTCTTTCAAGTCTTAGCTTAAATTTCACTTTCTCAATAAAACCCATTCCGAGCACCTTATACAGTACTACAACCTGTGTCTTCCACCACCACTACCCTTACTCCCTACCACTTGGCAACTTCTAACCTACTACACAATTCGCTTAATTATAATGTTTATTGTCTATTTTTTTTACACTAGAATATCAGCACAAGAGCAGAAATCTTTGATTTTGTTCACTGATGTATCCCAAAGGCCCAGAAGAGTGATCAGAAGACAGTGGCACTTAATCAATATTTATTGCTGAATGGGTGAGCAGAGAGCGCCCCACAGCACCCAGCCCAGGGGGCAGCCATACCTTATCGATGTAGAAGTCAACCTCAGAGGCTGACTGAAACTCGCCGTCTAGGGCGGAGATGCCACTGGTCCACACCAGGTTCTTCATCTTGTGTTTGAAGACAAGCAGCTGGATCCGGAACTCCTGCTCTGTGAGGTCGAGGAAGCCAGCCAGCTTGGCCACAGGCATGGTGGTGTAGAGCTTGAGGAAGCTGCGGATGGTCGAGAGCTGGGCCTGCTGCTGCACTTCATCGGAAAACACCTTCAGCTGCTGCAAGAAGGGCTCCTTGTGGTAGTTGGGGTGCACGTGGTCGTAATTGGGCACTACAGGCGACAGGAATTTGGGGCAGGAGTAGCTGAAAAGCTCCTCGTAGACCTGTGGGTCACCCTTCTGCATGCGGAGCATCTTGTCCCCGTACTTCTCCCGCAGCTGGAGGTGAATGCTCTCGTCTATACGCATGGGGTACATGGTGAGGGCGATGGCCAGCAGCGCGTGCATCTGCTCATTCTGCTTGTTAATCTGGGGGTGGGGAGAGAGATGCGCACAGGCTCAAATGAAAAGGACCTTCTGAGGTTCCCACTGCCAACGCGGCCCCACTGTCCTCCCAAGTACTCTGCACAGATCCGACTTCTCCCTTTGTCTTACCCCAGCCAGTTAACTTTCCCAACGTCTCTCCCAATCCTCCGTCTAGCTCTACTGAACTTCTGGCCTAGTTCCAGGTCCTCCTTAGTTGTCTCCTGGATTCTTTACCAGTATCTCTGTCCCAGTCTCTCCAGTTCACCCCACACATCACTGGCAGGTCAATCCTGCCACACCAGTTATGATCAAGTCACCCAGAAACCTTTGATAGCACCTCAATACCTTAGCTGGGTAATGAAGGTTACCCCAGAATCTCACACCCCAACTCAACTACTCTCCTGCCCTCCAGCCAAAACGGTTTATTGTGCTGCTACATCACCGTAGTTCCAAGTCTCAACACCTTTGCTCTGCCTAAAAACCTCCTCCTACACACGTCTTAGACCCATCTTGCTCCATGGCAAAGCTTGAGGACAATACCCACATCTAACTCATTTTTAAACACCCACAGCCCAGTGAACACTCAGAAAATCACTGCTGAATAAATAAATGTAGGCACTGTTGGCGGATAAAAGTGAAACAAAAGATACTGTCCTTATTGTCAACTGTCAAGGTGTTAACGATCTCTGAGGTAACAGGCATAACGAAACAAACTCTTAAGAGTACGCCAGCCATTAAGAAATCACGGTGTTGAAAAGGCATACAAAATAGCAAAATTTTGGATGGTGTGTACTGAAAACTGTTGTCATAGGTGTCAAGGGGTCAGCTGGTCAGAGGCCCCCTTACCATCTCATACTTGTATGTGGTCCTCTGGAACATGCTCTTGGTCCTCTGGATGTAGAGGAGGATGTTGGCAAAGACCCGGATGGCATCCTGGTAGCGACGCATCATCAAGTATGCAAAACCCACGTAATAGTACGTGGTGACCTGGCACTCGGGCACACGGGAATACATGCTCTGTGGAAGGAGGTGGGGGAAGCATCCATGAGTCCCCAGACCAACAGACCAATTCACCCCAGATGGGGTCTGAAAGCTGGCAGGGCCTAGTGTCAGCTGGGGTGAAAGCACTGAGCTCCCCTGCAGAGGCCCTGACCCATGCAGAGGAAGGCCCGGCTCTGGAGTCAGGGGCTTTGAGTGCAAATCCTATGGTTCACCAATTAAGCTATGTGACCCCAGGCCTCCATGGCAGGTGACCCTAAAGGTGACAAGTGACCCTCAAGTCTCTCAGCTCTAAAACCTTCCACACCTCAGTTTTGTATTCCTCCTTGCTTTCTACTTTCTTTTTCAAATAAGCACTATAAAGGAATAGATAGATAAGACAGAAAGACAGACAGACACATGTCAGACAAAAAGGTAGCCATCTGTCTGTGGCTAGGAAAAACAACCACAGCTAATCATATCATTACCATCTTATAATTAAGTCATCTGTTAATTCTTTAAGACCAGTGAAACTTGAATGTAAAAATCTGCCATTATCACTCTGTTTTGAAAACAGAATCAAATGACTGCTGAATATGTTAAGTATTATTAAGCACCAGAGAGACACCCCTCGTCCAGTTCAGATTCTCACTGCAGTGGCTTCTCCAGTTCTCTTTTCAATTTTCAACTGGCCTGGGGAAGCATCCTCCTTCTCCTCCCTGAAATCTGTCCTAATAGGTCAGAGTTTCTCTAGAAGCAGACAGACTTGCTGGCTCTGGGAAGGCGGGCGGGGACTGGGAATTACCTTCTTGTTCAGTTCGATATTCTCCAGCACCTTGATGGCCTGGTAGTAATCCCCCAGCAGGGAGTGCAGACGCAGAAGCCCCACCAGGCTGAAGTAGCCAAGCATCTTGTAGAGGGAGTGCCGTCCATACTCCCCAGCCACGCTCTCAGGGTCGCCTGAGAGAGAGAGACACTGTGAACGCTCAGCAGGGGCAGGTGAAGGACGGCAAATAAACTCACTCAGTAAACTCTGTGGGCTACCAGGCTCCACAGCTTCCTGCAATAGGGAACAACTCCGCCTCTGAAGGAACACCAAGAAACAGCATGGCTGGCCTTAAGCAGATCTTACATTTACCAACAGTTGCGTGGAGGATGACAGCTTTTTTGGGGGGGTCTTGACACAAGAAAAATTTTTAGGGCTGGCCCCGTGGCTTAGCTTAACTGCATCGACGCGCCACTTCTCCGGCCATGCTGAGGCCGCGTCCCACATACAGCAACTAGAGGGATGTGCAGCTATGACATACAACTATCTACTGGGGCTTTGGGGGGAAAAATAAAAAAAAAGACCTATCTGAACTT